ATCGGGACCATGGAAAAATGCCGCAGTGCATCTATCATCTCTCCTTCCAAGAATGCTCCCATGCAATGCTTCCCACCAGCGTTACTTCTTAACGGAGCGCGTAGTTAAACTATGGAACTCACTTGCTCAGGAGACAGTGATGCCCACCACTTGTGTGGCATTAAACAACAATTAGGCAAATTCACGGAGAGGACGGCTATCGACAACCACTAGCCATGATGGCTGTGCTCCAGCTCCACAGTCAGATGCAAAAATGTCTCTGCGTACCAGTTACTGGGAAAGAGATCTTGGGTTCGAATCCTGATGGCCAGGTTCCCCCAGGCATCTGGCTGGCCGCTGTGAGAGCAGGATGCTGGACAAGATGGGCCATTGGCCTGATCCTGCAGGCTCTTATTATGTAGGGCAGGCATGTCCAACAGGTAGGTCGTGATCTACCGGTAGATCACTGGAGGTCTGTGGTAGATCACTGGTAGATCATTGGCTCCCCCCAAAGAAGCTGAACAACTGTGGCTCCCCTAAAAAAAGCTCAACATTTTACCTCCTCCCTGAAAAAACTCAACAACTTTGACCTAAACCCCCAAAAAGAGGGTAGATCACTGCCAGTTTTTAACTCTGTGAGTAGATCGCAGTCTCTTGGGAGTTGGCAACCCCTGATGTAGGGCATGTCTCTGTCGACATGCAGAGGGTTGCAAGGCCAGCTGACTAGCCCCAGCTGGGTCGTCTCCTTCCAGCCGTCCTACTGCGAAGACCCATCGGCCTCTGCTCCGACGTAAATCAGCGACCCAGGCTTCAAAACCAGGGCACACTATATCAGCAGAGCGAACTGGGCACACAGAATAGGCGTGAGGCTTGTGGAAGCATACTACAACTGCGGATTTATTAATCATAAATCAGGACAAAGAAACATGTCGCCTCTCTCTTTGTCTTCTCAGAGAGACAGAGAAAAACAAAAGCTATACACATAACAGAAGTTCCCAGCAAGCTGTGCTGGAATGTAAACAGACATGTGACACGCAATAGTTCCATGTCTGCTCCTTAGGGTGGAATGGAAATTTCCCAACCGTCTCTCCCCATGACCACCATTTGTCAAGGCGGGAGGTGTTTCTCTAGCATTCAACCTTCTGTGGCTACTAGCCCTGCACCTTGCATGCTGGGTGATTGCACCGCTTAGTTGCTTTTCAAAAGGTTTCTCGTATTTCTGAAAACCTTGGGGTCTGCCCAAGCATGCTGATAGCTCGTCCTTGTTTCTCAGTGGTCCGGGGGGCACTCTCACCCCACAACTTTGCTATTAAAGCAGGGGGTCCCAGACGGTGGTCCACAAACTTCATTCTGGTGGCCCACAGCCCGGCTGTAAAGAACCCCCCCCTTCAGTTTGAATTCTATGCAATTCAAATTCCAATACAATAAAATACATTATAAGAAACAAAAGAAGCCATTAAGAATGCAATTAAGAATCTTACAGCAGCTAGCGCAGCCTGTTACTGATGCTACGACAGGCAGAAAAATCGTTAAGTGGTCCACCGAGGCCCTGGGCAATTGTCAAGTGGTCTGTGGGAAAATAAGTTTGGGAACCCCTGTATTTGAGGGAGTGATAACGAGGTCAATGTCAAGTCCACTTCCCGGAATCCAGAATGAGATGGGAAGCAATCTGAGCTAGCTGCTGCAGAATCATGGAAGGTTCAAACGTTTGTCTCTGTTTGCATTTTAACACACGACTGATTACTTCACGCTTCCAAAAACGACATGTGAAATGAAGCATGGCTATCTTTCGAAATGTGTGCTCCTCTGGATCTTGTGATGCATACAAACATTTGGCTGTTACATGGAAGTGTGCCTAAAAATACACATATATTTCTTGATGTCCAGGAGGATCAATAGCCAGCCTGAGAAGGCAGATTCAGTCTAGGGCAGGGATAGCCAACACAATTGGCTTAGATGGCTTTAAGAAAGGATTAAGTAAAGGTAAAGGGACCCCTGACCATTAGGTCCAGTTGTGGCCGACTCTGGGTTTGCGGCACTCATCTTGCTTTATTGGCCGAGGGAGCTGGCATACAGCTTCCGGGTCATGTGGCCAGCATGACTAAGCCGCTTCTGGTGAACCAGAGCAGCGCACGGGAACACCGTTTACCTTCCTGCTGGAGCGGTACCTATTTATCTATTTGTACTTTGACGTGCTTTCGAACTGCTAGGTTGGCAGGAGCAGGGACCGAGCAACGGGAGCTCACCCCGTCATGGGGATTCAAACCGCCAACCTTCTGATCGGCAAGTCCTAGACTCTGTGGTCTAACCCACAGTGCCACCCGCGTCCCCCAGTTAAGAAAGGATTAGGCCATATCAATTTGTATGCTGATGGGGGGGGGGTTATGTTGTCATCTTGTTGGGCTGTGTATATAATAAAGGTGAGCCATACCAGGGAGAAGGCATCCTCTTCTCTTTGTCCCCGCGTTAGTTTCAATTTGTTGGTTAGCTTTTCTAGAAGGGCTTTTCCCCATACGGTTTGGTACCAGTGGTCCATGTTCACTCCTGACCATAGCTGTCAACGTTTCCCTTTTTTTAAGGGAAATTCCCTTATTCCGAATAGGATTCCTTGCAAGAAAAGGGAAAAGTTGACAGCTATGCTCCTGACCGGTCTTTCCGGCATCTAGTTATGACGCTTCCAACTCTCACGCCTCAAACGAAAACAAACAAACAGATAATAAAGAACCCATCCTCGCAACGCTGACACAAAAACTCTGCACGTACACTAAGCAAAAGAATGAAAAAATCACTACCTCCCTTTTCTACACACCCCCCCCAGCCTCTCACAATGCCTGTGACAGCAGTTTCTCACACCGAAGGTAACTGACCTGTAGAAAGGACACTATGAATTGAAAACAGAGATGTTGCATGTACCCTTTGTGAAAAATGAAAATCCTTTAATAAAAGCAGCTAAAGGAAAAAAAGAAAAAAACCGGGTCAAATATATGTTGGAAATGTAAAGAAAAAGAACGGACTTTTTATCATATGTGGTGGGAATGCAGAGATTTTTTTTTAAGAAAGGGAAATGATATACAATGAATTGAAAAAAAATGTTTAAAATGACATTTGTAAAGAGAAACAACCAGAAGCATTTTTGTTAGGGATTGTAGGACAAGACCTGCCAAGAAAAACAAAGAATTTATTTATGTATGCTACAACAGTGGCAAGAGTCTTGATAGCACAAGGATGGAAGAATGAGGAAATTCCAACGAAAGAACAGTGGCAAGAAAAATTGAGGAGCTATGCAGAGTTGGCTAAATTGACATAAAAACTGCGGGACAAGGACAACTGTGACTTTAAGGAAGAATGGGAACTTTTTACAAATTATTTAACAAGACAACAAAAAGAACTGGCCTCCATGGCAGGTTTTGAATAAACATACACAAATTTATTGGTTGATAACATGATTGATAGATAGATAGATAGATAATGTAAGGATATGTAAAATTTTATAACATGCAGAGAATAATATGTGCTGAGAAATCAGAGAGAGGAGCTAAGGGAAGACCCTAGTGGGATGGAGGAAAGGGAAAAAATAATGTTTTTGATTCTATGGTTTGATAATTTGTTGAAATTGCTAATAAAAATGAGAGAGAGAGAGAGAGAGAGAGAGAGAGAGAGAGAGAGAGAGAGAAAGGATTAGACACATTCATGGAAGAGATGGCTACTGATGTGTACCAGCCATGATGGCTGGAGGCAGAAATGCTTCTGAATACCAGTTCTGGAAACTGCAAGACAGGAGACGGCTCTTGTGCTCCAGTCCTGCTTGTGGATTTTGCCATGAGCATCTGGTTGGCCAGAACAAGACGCTGGACCAGATGAGTCACTGGCCTGATCCCGCAGGCTCTTCTTATGTTTATTTGGTGGAGTTGTTAGACTACAACTCCCATTATCCGTGGCCATTGGTGATGCCAGCTGGGACTGCTGGGAGATGAAGTCGAGCAGCGTCTGGAGGGAGCTACATTGCCTGTGCCTGGTGTAGGCCCAGGGATTACTTGACAGTTCAGTGGCAGACCACATGGGGCAGCTGCCCACAGATCCCTGCGGTTCCCAACAGCTACTTAGCCTCGCTCCCCACTGCTAGGCAGGACCACCTGACCAACAGCTCCCTAGGCACCGACCGCTGCTTCAGTTCATCAATCACAATTTGCTATGGGAAAGGAAGACCATAAAACTGGGCGCATCCCTGTCCCTCTGCATTTGGTGTGACACCCGATGAAGGAAGACGGCTACCTTTTTAGTTCTGCATTCCACCCAGCCGTTCCTTCCCGGCTCCCCCTCCAGCATCTTGGCGGTCTCTCCCTCTCGTAAGGAATGTTGTCCCTGGAAAAGTTTGGGTTTTCTTGTTTTTATCGCTTGCAGGCTTCTGTGTTAAATAACTCCCATATGCAGCATTTCAAAAGCCGTATCCCCACATCTGTGCGGAACGATCAACTATCCCCAAGACGCCGAAGGTTTGGGGAGATGGATGCGTGGGGAAGGCACGGGACCGAGGAAGGCAGGAAATCTTGGGTTTTGTTGCCGCGTTTGGCTGCCGTCTCGCTGCGCACGACCTTGGGCAAGTCTCTCCTAGCACTTCATCAGATTAGTTTCCTTTAATTCCTTTACAAAGGGAAGGATATATATCTGCCTTAGGAGACGACAGATCCAGACTCAGTTTTCCTGGTTGGGACCGTGATTTATACGCTGACACGTAACGTCTTGTTACAGCACATGGTGGAATTGGCGGCTACCAGTTTCCCACCATGCGGCGGAGCGGTGCGGTTTCTGACGCCGGTTGCCCTCGTTTCCGGCTGCTTAAAAAGCACATTAAACAAAGCTCTTATTAAAAAAATGTATGGGAAACATACTGCATCCTAATGTTGCTTTTCCCACTTGGGCAATTGAGAGCTTGCTTGCTTGATAAGGATTGTGCTAGTATAGTGGCAAAGAGACTGAGCAGAGGAGAAAGGAACTCCCAGACTCAGTGATCTCTTTGGGGAAGGGTTGTGGCTCAGTGGTAGGGCATATGCTCTGTGTTCAAAAGGTCTCAAGTTCAATCCCTGGCATCTCCAGGTAGAGCTGGGAAACCCTGGAGAGCTTCTGCCAGTCAGTGCAGACAATACGCAGCTAGATGGACCAATGCTTTATTAGAGCAGGGTTTCCCAAACTTGGGTCTCCAGCTATTTTTGGACTACAACTCCCATCAACCCTCTCACTTCCATACATCACTACTGGGAAAACCATGGCTTTAACTATACGGACCTTTGTTGGCAAGGTGATGTCTCTGCTTTTTAAGAGGCTGTCTAGGTTTGTCATTGCTTTCCTCCCAAGAAGCAGGCGTCTTTTAATTTCGTGGCTGCTGCCACCATCTGCAGTGATCATGGATCCCAAGAAAGTAAAATATCTCACTGCCTCCATTTCTTCCCCTTCTATTTGCCAGGAGGTGATGGGCCCAGTGGCCATGATTCGTTTTTTTGATGTTGAGCTTCAGACCATATTTTGCGCTCTCCTCTTTCACCCTCATTAAAAGGTTCTTTAATTCCTCCTCACTTTCTGCCATCTAGGTTGTGTCATCTACATATCTGAGCTTGTTGATATTTCTTCCGGCAATCTTAATTCCGGCTTGGGACTCCTTCATGGATCACTGCCTTGCCATGGCGAAGGGGCTTGAATAACTCAGAGAAGCTATGAACTATGCCGTGCAGAGCCACCCAAGATGGACAGGTCATAGTGGAGAGTTTTGACCAAACGTGATCCACCTGAAGCAGGAACCGGCAAACCACTCCAGTATCCCTGCCAAGAAAACTCCATGGACAAAGACAACAGGCAGTTCCCATAACATAAGTACAAAGACACAGGAGCCCAAGTAACAATAAAATAGAAGGGATTATTGAAACATAAACCTGTGAAGACGTGCAAGATGTGTACAGAATACAAGTGTACAGAATACAACCTGTGGCACTTTATAAGCAGCAGTGAAGTTCTCAAAAAAAAAAGAGGGGGGGAAAGAAATACAGACAATGATTGACAAGATCTCCAGACCTGCATCTTGTTTCATAGTTCTTCAAACACAAATTGGAGAATTACTCATGGACGGCAGCTCTGGGCTGTCAGAAGGCAGGGTGGTCCAGCGGCAGGTTGGGGAGATGGAGAAGCCTTGCAATCTTACTTGAAATTTCTTTTCAAGAGAGCATGCACAGCAGCGCATGGCATGGCAACTCAGGAGAGGTGGCGTTGCTTAGCTGACTGCCCAATGCCAAGTATCGCCGCCGGTTACTGAGGGGACAATGGCAAAGCTGAGCGTTTGAAGATTTGGGACAGATAAAAGAAAGAACTTCTTCATGCAGCGCCTAGTTAAACTATGGAACGCATTTCCCCAGCAAGCAGAGATGGCCGACTTGGATGGCTCTGAAAGACAACTGGTCGAGCTCACAGAGGATAACTAGGAGTCACAGAGGTGACTGGGACCGGCCGCCGAGACCACATAACACCGGTCTTGAAAAACCTACACTGGCTCCTAATACGTTTCAAGGGGAATTCAAAGTGTTGGTGCTGACCTTTAAAGCCCTAAACGGCCTTGGTCCAGTACAGTGGTACCTTGGGTTAAGTACTTAATTTGTTCCGGAGGTCCATTCTTAACCTGAAACTGTTCTTAACCTGAAGCACCACTTTAGCTAATGGGGCCTTCCGCTGCCGCCGCACCGCCAGAGCACGATTTCTGTTCTCATCCTGAAGCAAAGTTCTTAACCTGAGGTACTATTTCTGGGTTAGTGGAGTCTGTAACCTGAAGCATCTGTAACCTGAAGCGTATATAACCCGAGGTACCACTGTATACCTGAAGGAGCATCTCCACACCCATCGTTTTGCCTGGCAAACTTATAGATTAGAGCTGTGCTTTTTCTCTTAAAAAATGTTTAGCGGTACTCTCATTTTCCTACTCAAATTGAAATACTGCCCCTCAATGAGGCCAAACTTCACAAAATGTTTAGGGGTGTGCGTACCCCTGCGTACCCCCAGGGGAAAAAGCACCGGATTGGAGAAACTGAACACATAATAACCAAGAAAACAAATTTATCGCTTTTACATTTTTAATGTAATTTTTTAAAATGTAAAATAGAATGTTGTTACATTTTTAGAATGCTTATTTTTTTCTTTTAGTCTATTCACCATACTTTAGAGTTATTTTTTCCCCAGCTTTTCATTTCCTTTTGTCTTTCTGCTTTACATGCTTCCTTTTCTCCTTTCTTGACAAGCAAGCTCGTTTGATGTACACTGGTCTTGGCTACAAAAAGTATAATAAAATAATATTAATAAAATTACCGTATTTTTCGCTCTATAAGACGCACCAGACCACAAGACGCACCTAGTTTTTGGAGGAGGAAAACAAGAAAAAATATATTCTGAATCTCAGAAGCCAGAACAGCAGTGAAAGCAGCAATCCCTCTTGCTGTTCTGGCTTCTGGGATAGCTGCGCAGCCTGTATTCGCTCCATAAGACGCACACACATTTCCTCTTACTTTTTAGGAGGGGAAAAGTGAGTCTTATAGAGCAAAAAATACGGTATTTTAACACTTTTTTTTTTTTTTTAAGTGCAGGCCAGGCACAGCATGGCGAGCCTAGGGTGGGGCCTCCTCTCCCATTGCACAGAGCACGCCCAGCTCACGGCTTCAAGTATTATCCGGATGCCTTAAGGAACAGATTTCTCTGCTCCTGTGCACGAAGCCAAGCTTCTTGCCTAGCCTGCTGCTGCTTTCCTTCATAGTAAAGATGTTTTAGACCAAATTAGAAGCAATGCTTGCCAAAATATTTGACAACACTGAGCATGCCTTGGCAACGCTCCAGATTCTCCCACAACACCCCCCTTTTTTTTTGCTTCTATAAAGAAAAAAATATATAATTCTACCCATGCAGAGATCAGCATCAATTTGCATGTTGCTGCTGCAATTTGGGTGACAGCAGGAGCAGAGGGAGATGGCATATGCAGGGATGGGGAAGGGACAAAGCTCAGTGGCGGCTTTGCATGCAGAAGGTCCCAGGTTCAATCCCTTTACCGGGCATCTCCAGGTAAAGTTGGGAATGTCTGAAACCCTGTACTTGCCGATCAGAAGGTCAGCAGTTCGAATCCCCGCGACGGGGTGAGCTCCCGTTGCTTGGTCCCACCTTCCGTCAACCTAGCAGTTCGAAAGCACGTCAAAGCCCAAGTAGATAAATAGGTACCGCTCCAGTGGGAAGGTAAACGGCGTTTCCGTGCGCTGCTCTGGTTCGCCAGAAGCGGCTTAGTCATGCTGGCCACATGACCCGGAAGCTGTCTGCAGACAAACGCCGGCTCCCTCGGCCAATAAAGCGAGATGAGCGCTGCAACCCCAGAGTCGGTCACGACTGGACCTAATGGTCAGGGCTCCCTTTACCTTTAACATCTATTTACCTATGCAGTCGCTTAAAGACTTCCTGCACTTTACTAATCCTACCTCTGCAGAAGTCCAAAGGACTGTACATTTGTGTGTGAAGTGAGATTTATAAAACAAGATTTGAAATAAAGAAGCAATTATCGAACGGAATCAAAGCCAACAAAATCTACCCTCCGACCAATGACACCATCACTGCCAGGACCTTAGATGCCGCCTGTTTTTCAATCGCAGAGCACTTGTCTGAGGTAGTAAGTTTGATCTTTGATATCCCTACTTGTTGAGGAATTACATTTACACCCCACACTTCACCCCCTCCAAGGAGCTCAGGGTGAGTTGCGAAGTTCTTTACCTTCTTCACAACAACCCTGTAAGCCAGGCTGGGATGGAAAAACAGCAACAGGTAGCAAGCACCTTTCTGTTTCAGCTCAGGCAGGGAAACGGGATGGACCAGCCCTAGGCCTAGTGTTAAGGAATTTAGGGTCACCGGGCTGGGCATGATCTCTGCCCAAGACTTAGGAGAACAAGTCAGAGCAGACAATTTTGGGCTAGAATCTCAGGGGTCAGCAAAGTTTTTCGGCAGGGGGCCAGTCCACTGTCCCTCAGACCTTGTGGGGGCCGGACTATATTTTGAAAAAAATATATGAACGAATTCCTATGCCCCACAAATAACCCAGAGATTCATTTTAAATGAAATGGCACATTCTACTCATGTAAAAACACGCTGCTTCCTGGACCGTCCACAGGCCGGATTGAGAAGGCGATTGGGCCACATCCGGCCCCCGGGCCTTAGGTTGCCTGCCCATGGGCTAGATAGTCCAAGTGTCTGAACACAGCACACAAGCCAGATCATGAAATGTGGGGGAGGGGGGACATAAGCCTGGCTCTCTCTACTTTTTCCACAGCAGGAGTGAATATTTTTTTCATCTGCAAAAGCGGTATTTTGCCCCCCACTCCGGCCCAAAATTTGTTTCATCCTTTCCCATTTCACAGTCTCCACCACATCCTCAGCGCAAGAAAGTGCAGCCATGCATTTGACTTTGGAAACCGGCTGTTATGTGGCTGCAACTGTTTAGCAAAACAAGGAGAGCTCAGAGCCCCTTCACTCCCAGTCGCACGAAAGCACCCCTTTCTGAGCTCAGAAACTCTGCTTTCAGTTACAGTGGTACCTCAGGTTAAGAACTTAATTCGTTCTGGAGATCCGTTCTTAACCTGAAACTGTTCTTAACCTGAGGTACCACTTTAGCTAATGGGGCCTCCTGCTGCTGCCGCGCCGCCGGAGCACGATTTCTGTTCTCATCCTGAAGCAAAGTTCTTAACCCGAGGTCATAGCTGTCAACTTTTCCCTTTTCTTGTGAGGAATCCTATTCGGAATAAGGGAATTTCCCTTAAAAAAAGGAAAACATTGACAGCTATGCCCAAGGTACTATTTCTGGGTTAACGGAGTCTGTAACCTGAAGAAATGTAAGCTGTATAATTGTGGTGGAGACTTTGGCCAGAAAAACATTCATACTGTAAGTGTTGCGACTGGGTGCTAGGGAAGGGATTCTGTCCAGCCTGTCCATTGATCTGGAATAACTCTTTTTAAGGGTGGCTTTTTTTCTCTATCCAACACCACTCCCTCTAATACCAAACTCAGTGCTGACAGGACTGGAGTCAAAATGTGC